TGAGCACAGAGGGCTGCCCCGCGGCCGGTAAACAGCCGCTATCCTCCACAGGCACGGGGTGCTTGGGGCGGAGGGACCTCTGGAGAGCACCCAGTGTAATCCTGTTAAAGCAGATCTTAGAGCACGTTGCACAGAGTAGAGGCAGAAAGAGACTCCTTCAGAAATGGTCAGGCCACGACAGAGGCGTTTGCCTTAAGGGAGGAGAACAGTTCTTGATGACGAGGTGGATGGGAAAACCTGTCAGTGCTAGGCCTGTCCTGTTCTTCTGTCTTGGAGCACAAGACCTATTTCATAGTCTACAATACACTCTGCCATCTTGCCATTCGATTTATGATGTAATTTCCCCTCTGTTTTTCCTACATTTATGTCTTTCTATCTACATATAGATATATTCTACAGGACATATGTATATCCCTAGGAATAGGGAATTTCGTGCATTCCCCTATGGCTCTCTGCTATGGGCTGAAAAGACTATCCATTGGATTCATAGTTTCAGAATTGTCCCCGGTGAGGCTAATGGAGGTATTTGGCTCTGCATAATAGCTACAGGCTTTTGGATTCTTTTTGCTGGTCCAGATTTTGTCAGCTACTCTCTGTGATTTTTGTTTTAAACTCTTAAGTGTATGTGATTGTCTCCTTGCTATGTTATGTTTTCTAAATGCAGCCAGATGGCAGTGAAACCTTTACTACACATTGCAGTTCAGTTGTGAAAGGTATTTTTAAGAATGTCCCAAATTGGGCTTTCTTTTATTCCTGATCAGTATTTTCAGTCTAAATAGTATGCACTGTTTTAAGGAGAATAATTTTAAGGAGAATATGTAACAAACCCATGTGAAAAAGCTACTTAAAATATTTTATGGCTTCTGATGTAAGCTATCCAAAAATTGAAGTTGATAGCATTAGTATCAGATTAGTGTCTAATTGTCATTATTTATACAAGCAGGACTTTATGGAGTTTACGACTGCATCCTGCATCATAGTGTAGAAAAGGACCATTTTGATGAGTGGCCAGACTTGGGGAAGTAGGCTGGGTTCTAAACTCTGCTTGAGGTAGCCTGGAAGCCCGTGAATAATAGAGAGGAAAGGACTCAGCTGAGTCACACTTGTTTTTTCCCCAGATCTTTACAAGGGAAACTCCCCCCTAGCCTTACGCTTGTCTAAAACCAAGTTTACCTTGGTTCTGGGAATGTGTTGCTTGCTTTGTAGAGTCAGTAACCCTTCCTGCATTCCTGATGGCTGATTAGTGCTGCTGTCCATTGGTTATTTCCTCCTGCCTTTGGAATACACTGCTGAGATAAACTGAAATCATTTGCCTTTTTGCCTGGACTGAGAGCAGGAGTGGAGGCTGCTTTGTTGTACACAGAAAGAAGCAGAGCCTCTTTTGGGGTAATAGCCACAAAATTCTCCCCAAAACATTGAAGTTTTGGTGTTAAAATGAGGATTTTTACTAGAAGGAAACCCTGGCTTTAAAAGAGCGACTTCCCACCCCATTCTTACTTAGCACAGCTGTCTCTTTCCCAATGATGAAGGTTTGTAATTTAAAAAGGCTGTTATGATGTTGTCTGTTTGTAATGAAACTCTATTTTTGATTGCATGTTTGCAGCACAGCATGGGGGTTGTGGAATTTTTCCATTGCTTTTTACTCTGTTCCAGACAACCTGAGTGAGTTTGATTTTGTTTGAAACTTAATTTCCTCTGATGAAATTCCAGCCAATGGCATGATGGCACTTGTTTGTGGAGAATGTGGGCTGCAGCTCCCTGTATTTGTTTGTTGCCATTTTCCTTGCAGGGTCAAGGCCAGTGTGAGGTGTTCCCTCAGCAGTGCTGGCCTGCACAGCTGCCAGGGGGCTCTGCCCTGGGCACCAGCATGAAGAGACGTTTGAGCAGTGGCCTGACCTCTGCTGAAGCACAACACTTGCAAACCTTGACTTTCCTCATCTGTAACTCGAGGGATGAGTCACTCATTTAGCAAAGAGCTGCAGCACGGGAGGGTTTTGTTCTGCTGCCAAGAGTTGGAGAGGTAACAAGGGAGACGGAGCAGGATCTTTGATCCACACCCACTTCCTTGATGTGCAATGACACCAAACCACCAGAGGAGGAAGCTTGAGGGAGACCCCTGAAATTCAAGGTGAAAATCCTGAGGGTTACTCACAATCTGTCCCCACAGCTTTGCTGGCAGGTCAGGGACCTCTGCCTGAGGGGAGCTGACAAACAGCTAAGGGGAGTTAGATGAGTCAGTAGTTGCTAGAACAGCTTGTAGCTGTTTGCCCTGTATGTACAACTGCAGTGCAGATTCCTGTTACCTGCTGATGTCTCTGGCTTGTAAACTACTGATCAGGTGCTGAAACTGCTTTTGCCAAAATGATCTTGAAATCCCACATGGAATTAGAGAAGGAGAGAAAAAATGAGAAATGTTCAAGTTTTCTGAGGATTAGTATTGCTCAGTCAGGAAAGCTTTTGGTAGGACTTTTCAAAGATGTAATGAAAGTTGCTGAGGTTTAAGACTGATGAAATTTCCTATGCTGGTGGCTGGAGCTTTGTAGTTTGTGATGATGAAGATTGAGTGGAAACTCCTTCACGTGTGAAGTAGGATAACAAGATGCTTTTTGCAGTGTGGTTACAGTTGTTAATCCTCACAACTCAGTGCCTTTTTGGTTAGGTAGCTTTTCTACTTGCACTGTTGGATAGCTGATTTAAAAATAAAATAAAGAAACAATCCATTGAAAAAGAATCTCTGTTGTGATCGAGTGAAAAAACACTGGAAGAATACTGTTCTGGACAGCATAATCTGGACTGTGCTTTAGGGGTGATCAAGAT